TGGGAAGGATGCTCCTGGCAGAAGTGAGCAGAAGGGTAGCCTCGAGGACGAAAGGATGGGAAGTGTGCTGGAGTGGGGGGTTTGCAGGGGCAACGTGACATTTTTTAAAACCGTGGTAGAATATACGTAACATAGCATTCACCGTCTTGGCCACTTTTAAGTGCACAGCTCAGTGACATTCAGCACATTCACAATGTTGTGTAGCCATCCCTGCCATCCATCTCCAGGACTCTCGCATCTTCGAAAACTGAAGCTCTGTCCCCATTAAACACTCACCCCCTCCCCTCCCGCAGCCCCTGGCACCACCATCCCACTTCCTGTCTCTATGGGTTTGGCTCCTCAAGGGCCCTCAGGTAAGTGCAATCCTACGGGATTGTCCTTCTGTGTTGGGCTCATTTCACTGAGCATAATGTGTTTAAAGCTCATCCATGTTGCAGCAAGTGTCAGAATTTCCCTCCTTTTTAGGGCTGAATAGTGTTCCACACCACGTTTTGTTTATCCATTCATCCGTCCATGGACATGTGGGTTGTTTCCACCTTTTGGCTGTTGTAAGTAACGCTGCTGTGAACACGAGCGTACAGATGTCTCGTCAAGACCCTGCTGTCCGTTCTTTGGGGTCTCTGCCCAGAGTGGGATTGCTGGGTCAAACGGTCATGGTGTTTACTTTTTGAGGACCCGCTGTCCTGTCTTCCACAGCAGCAGTGACTTGGCCTGCAAGAGGCCATCTATCTGGTGGCACACGTGGACAGTACTTGTCATATTACATTTTATTTGCTATGACAGTGATGTTAGTAATGACAGTAAGTGCAAACACGTCGAGAGCCTCCTCTGCGCCTGGTGTTCCGCAGGCATGGGGTGGGGTGGGGGTGGGGAGGAGTCTGTCGAGGACCTGTGCAGGACGGAGGACCCACCAGGAAAGGTGTGCCTTCCAGATGAAAGGTAACTCACCACTGTGCGTGCTTGGGGGCACCTGGTGCTGGTCACCACGGTCCTGACGAGCAAAACTCAGACTAGCACTCATAAACACACTGCTCCCCAGTGTCGTTGAGGCCCGGCTGCAAGCCGTCCTGGGGGGACAGGGCTGGGCATCCAAGTGGCATTGCATTCTCAGCTATATAAAAGCCCATTGACCCTGCCCAGCCCCAGGATTTCATTCTAGAAAAGCAATGTCCTGCTTCTGCAATTACAGGCCTGACCCCTCACCTTGTTCTAAAGTACGAGGGGTCCTGGTGGGCAGGGAGGGCCGAGTGCTGGTCGGGCCCAGGTCTCCTCCCAGGTCCCACTCCCCGGGGCAGCGAGTTCTTCCTCCCGCTGCCTGACACCAATGCCCGAGGCCAGCGGTTGCTTTTTTGTTTTTCAGTGGTATTCTGTGGAACCTCATTCCTGGAAGTTATGAACAGGTGTGCCCTGGAAGCAAGCCTTGCGGTCACCATTTGCAGGAGTGCCTGAGAACCCCTGAGAATGCCCGCAGGAAGGACGCCCCCATGGTTGGTGGCATCGGCATTTCCCAAGCTTACCGGAAAACAGGACCTCTGCTGGCTGACCTCCTCTGCTCTGCCAGACCTGTCCTGAAAGCTGGGCAGGATTTGAGAGATGGCCTCTTGAATCTAGCACCTGGGCCACCGTGGACGCCTGTCTAAGCTGCCCAGCTAGTGTCCTGGGACCACCCATGATGAGGGGCTTCTACAGAAGCATATCCTCTCCCAGCCCTGAGGCCAGAAGTCCACAGTCAGGGTGTCGCAGGGCCACCATCCCTCCAAGGGCTCTGGGGAGGATTCTTGCCTCTTCTAGCTCCAGTGGTGCCCACGATCCTTGGCATCCCTTGTCTTGTAGAAGCATCACTCCAGTCTCTGCCTCTGTCGTCACACAGCCTTCTCCCTGGGCCCCCGCTGTGCCCCTGTTTTCTCTTATGAGGACACTAGATATTAGACTAGCCCCCCACCCCCATTCCAGTCTGCTTCGTCTGAACTAATTACATCTGTAAAGACCCTGTTTCCAAATAAAGTCACATTCTTGTTCTGGGTGGACATGAGTTTTTGGGTGACACCATTCAGACCAGCACGCTGCCTTTTGCTTGTGATAAAACATGAAAACTGGAAACACTGAACTTAGAGGACCGTTGCAAGAATTAAAGCAGAAAAGGGACCCGGAAGGGACGTTGTGGACAGCACGTGCTCGAGAAACACAGAGGCTGGGAGTCTGTTTCATTCGATCATTTCAGATCCAACGGTAGGCGGCAAACAGCATCGTTCCCTCGCCCACCCTGCCCCATGTTGCTTCAACTTCCCACAGAGTTTCGGCAGACACAGGGTCTGCAGGGTCCACGTCTCAAGGTTCCGGGACACAGAGCTGCCCTGAGCTGGAGTGGGGCCCATGCTGACCAGCACCTGCCCCAGTGAGAAGCGGAGCCCGTGGGCCTCGGTCACCACACAGCTGCCACAGGAGGAGCAGCCCAAGTGGGCCGACTGGCGTGGCCTGGGGCCACCTGAGCCGCCCTTTCTCTCACCCTACACCCCTACAACAGGGAGTTGGGGGGCAGCCTGGGATCTGCAGTCTGCCTGGCGGGTGGGCTCTTTCCTGGTGCAGTGACAAACATCCTCTAGGGAAAAGACACCAGAACTCGCCTAGGAGACTCCTCAGCCTCCGTCTGAGACGCTGATGGTGGCATGTGGAAAGGACCTACACACCTGGGGGAGGGTGGACAGGGGCCGACCCTCCAAGGCCCCTCTCCACTGGGGGGCGCTGGACGCCTTGGAGGCAGCCGTCCCCTCTCCTTGCTCCCGCCCCCCTCCCCAGTGCCCACGCCTCCCCAGAGATGAGCCAGTTAGCCTCTTGGACAGTCGAGCAATGGCCTCTGCAGCCCCTTCGAGCGGGGCCCAGGGCATGCACATGCCCCCACGGGTGTTGTTTGTCATTGTAGAACGAGCGAGACATGCTCTTCTGTGACTTTTGCATCCCCTCCAAACTCAACAGGGACACGCTCGGCGCCAGCACCCCTGCAGTCCCCAGTTGTTGATGGCGGCTTGCTGCAATGTCGAGCGGCACAGGAGAGCTGCGGAAGATTTACAAGTCCAGATTCGGTAGAGTGAAGACTCTGATACTGCAGACTCTCCATCACACTTGCCCACGTGGAACACGCCCACGCTGCCCCCGTCACGCACCCCTCAAAGGTGAGGTCCCTTTCCCACCTGGACCACCCATCCTCTGGGTGACCCTGGTGATCACTGTGACTGTCACCGTTGTCCTATTGTCTTTCTTATTAGTCTTACTGAGCAGCAAACGCTCACACAATGCTCACCACAGGCCGGGCCCACCCTTGGAGCTCTGTCTGAACCCCACTTCACCCTTGCCCCGTCCCTCGGTGGGTAGGGGCCACAAAGGCGAACCCATCTGCTCAAGGCCATGGTCCCAGGCTTTGGAGGAGCCGATGCCTGAGGCGGGAGAGTGACACAGAAACAGGATGAAGACCAGGAACAGACCACAGCCTTTCAAGGAGGCCTTACCCAGCCGGGAGGGGTGGGCGACACCTGGAGCTGGTGGGAGCCCGCAGGAAGGGCAGCGGGCAGGACAGGGGTGAAGGGGCGCTGGTGATGTCCCTTGTGTGGGACAGATGGCCACTCACTGGCACAACGTCCACGGATGCTGGGGCTGGCATGGGGCTCTCCAGCCCTTGGCTGACCCACAGGGCCCACCCTCCGGGGCTCAGCTGTCCTCAGTGCTGGCTCTGAGCTGTCATTGTCCAAGAGCCCAACCCAGGAAGTGTCCCAATGCTGGCGGCCAGCCTGGACCCGCACCCTAGACCCTTCCCTTCTGGGGCCCTACCAGGAATTGTCCAGGCCCCGGGGACTCAGAGGGAAGAAGGCCTCCTATTGTCCCAGTCGAGGAAGCCACTGAGGGCCGAGGATGAGTCACGGGGATTCAGGGAACTGCATGGCGGGGGGCCCAGACGGTGCTGGCTGGTGGGCCCTCTCCAGCCCTCTCCTATATGAGCCCCTGAGCCCGTGCCTCGGCCTCCTCCCTCCACCTTGGCCTCCTTGCTCTGCTTCAGCCTCCTCAGTCTCCGGAGCTCAGAGTGCAACCGCAGCTGCAGCCATGAAGTGCCTCCTGCTCGCCGTAGGCCTGGCCCTCATGTGTGGCACCCAGGCCACCAGCATCCCCCAGACCATGGAGGACCTGGACCTGCAGAAGGTTTGCGGATGGCTGGGGTGGGCGGTGAGCTGCAGGGCGGGCAGGGAAGCTGGGCCTCAGAAAGACAAGCAGAGACAGAGGAGACTGTTCTGTCAGGAGCCTGCACTGGTCTGCCTGGGCCGCCCTAAAAATTATCACAGTCCGAGCAGCTTAAACATCAGAAACTGTCACGTCCTGAGGCTGGGAGTCTGAGATCAAGGTGTGGACAGGGCTGGTTCCTCCTGAGTCCTCTCTCCTGGGCTTATAGATGGTGTTCCCTCCCTGTGTCCTCACGTGGTCGTCCCTCTGTGTGTCTGTCTCCTGATCTCCTCTTCTCATAAGGTCACAGTCAGATTGGATCAGGGCTCAGCCTAATGACCTCATTTTACCTTAATCACCTCTTTAAAGACCCCATCTCCAAACATAGTCATGTTCTGAGGTCCTGGGGGTCAGGGCTTCAACATAAGAATTTTGAGGGGGACATAATTCAGCCCATAACAAGGCCTCTCTGAGCCCAACCTTTTTCCATCTCCAGCCACGTCTCCCCAAGATCCAAACTTTCCCCACTCACTCATGCTGATGGGCTCATCTAGGTCCTTCTTTGGGCTTGGAATGAGTTAGGTTAGAACACTCCTCAGGTCAGCAGAGGAGGAGGGTCCCAGGGCTTCCCAGGTCGGGGGTCACTGAGTGCTCCGAGAACCACAGCCCAATTCCTTCCTAGGCCAGCCTGAGGGCAAGACTCAGGCTGGCAGGGACAGGGTGGGACAGAGAGCCCACTGTGGGGCTGGGGTCCCATTCCCGCCCCCAGAGTGCAGCTGAGGGTCCCCCTTCAGGTGGCAGGGACGTGGCACTCCGTGGCCATGGCGGCCAGCGACCTCCCCCTCCCGGACTCTGAGAGCGCCCCTCTGAGAGTGTACATCCAGGAGCTGAAGCCCACCCCCGAGGACAACCTGGAGATCATCCTGCGAGAAGGGTGGGTGTGCCCCCCGGGCTGTGGGCCGGCCAGGGCCTGGCTCCGGAATGGGTGGGCTCCCGATGGGACCTGGCTCCACTGTGGGAGGGCACGGTGCCCCAGGGGCGAGGATCAGGGCTCGGAAGATCCCCATCCCCTAGGGGCCCCAACCAGGGCTCTGGACCAACAGGCCAACCACAGAGCGGCCCCTGGTCAGTGTGGGGAGAGGCCCGCATGGATGCCGGCTGGTCAGCTGCAGGCTGGGGCCCTCAGGGCCCGGGCTGTTCCTGCCATGAGCCCTGTCTGCCCCCAGAGTGGGGCGGAGGGTGCAGGAGAGAGCCGGGTGGATGTGGGGGCAGAGATGAGGACCTGAACCCCGGGATCGCCTGCCGAATGTGAGTCATTGACCCCGCAGGGTGAGGGCACTCCCAGCAGGTTTTTCTCTGGCTCCATCTGACTTCTCATAGCCCTGTCCAAGCTGGTCACCGGCCTGCTGTTAGAGGTGACAATGGGTGCAGCCTACGCCCCAGTGACCAGACTCTCCCCTCAGAGCCCCTCCCGGAGCCCGGTTTCTGCTCCCTGCCCCACGGTTTGACCTTATGGAAATGCCGTCTGTGCAGGCGGCTCACAGAATCGACTGCCTTTCAGGGAGAGCAAAGGGTGTGCTGAGAGGAAGATCTTCGCAGAAAAGACCAAGAGCCCTGCTGAGTTCAAGATCAACTGTGAGTGCCGGAGGCCCCGGGGCTCTGGGGGCAGGCGCAGGGGGCCAGGCTCTGGCCTGAGGATGCTAAGGTGCAGGTGGGGACGGTGCCGATGCGGTCATGAACGCCAGCTTCCGCTGCCCTGCCTGCCCCTCCCTCTGGTGCTGTGGAGCCAGTGGCCACGGGCAGGTCCCCACTGGGCTGGTCTAACTCCCAAGGTGACAGAGGTCTCTACACGGGGCGGGTCCTCGAGTCCCTCGGGCTGAGCTCAGGAAGCATCCGTGCGGTCACTGCCTTCCCAGGCTGCCTTCAGGGAGCTAGGAGCCACTGCCCGCTCCGCAAGGGTCAGGGCAGCCCCTGGTGCCCCAGCCTGTCACATCGTCCATCTCCTGGACCCAGGATTCATTCCCTCATCCGCTCGTTCCTCACTAAATCCAAGAGGAGAACGCGCGATGGGTGTGGGGGGTACTTTCCACCAGGGCTGTCCCCGCTCCAGGCAGCCTGGGCCGCGTCTTGCTTTCCCCACCCCTGGCTGGCCCTCAAGACTGATTTTGACCCAAGGCTGCACACGACAACCACGGACACCAATGCCAGGGCACCCGCCCCCGGGGCCCCGGCACCATCTGCCACAGCAGGGTCGGGACACTGGCACTTCCTTTGAAGCTGCCCAGGACACTCTGCTGGGCAGATGGTGGCACCCACTGGCCTCAGTCAGGCAGCCCCACTCTGGCTCCTCCGGCTCCCAAGGCTCCAGGGCTGCTCCGCCCCCTCAAATGTGACCCTGTCGGAGGACCATCCTCTTCTCCTCCCTCACTCGGCTGTGCCAGGTCTCCCCCGAGATCAGTGTGGAAACCCCACTTCTCAACCACTGTGGGTCTCGGGACCTGGTGGGGGGTCTTGGATTGAGTGACAGGTGAGCCCGAGTCCAGGAGGCGGCGGAACACCTCTGGTGAGATCTGTGGTTAGCTCGAGGGCTTCTCGGCCTCTGTGCCTGGGCCAGCTGCAGGGAAAGGCCGACCCATGTCGGGGTGCAGGCAGCTCCCGCCCTGTGCTCTGCCCGGAGGATCCTGCTGGTCATGCAGAGAGGTTGCTGACCAGCATCCCCCACTGCCGGAGACAAGAACCCGAATCTCACGTCTGCCGCCATCCTGGTCTCTCCTCCAGACCTGGACGAGAACAAGCTCTTCGTGCTCGACACCGACTATGAAAACTACCTGCTCCTCTGCATGCAGGACGACGCCGCTGCCCCTGCGCAGAGCCTGGCCTGCCAGTACCTGGGTACGCACCACGCCCCCAGGTTTCCGGACTGAGACCCTGCTGGTCGGGCCCAGCTGTGAAGAAGGAGGGGGTGGGGCGAGGGAGACGGTGGTCGGATGCTGGAAAGGTGGTGTCTCCTGGGACTGTGGGTGGCTGGTGACGAGGGCCAGACACGCAGGTGGGCTGCAAGCCCTTGTGGTTGGTTTGACAGTCTCGACACGGCCCATGGGTTACTATGAATCCAACAGCCTTTGTTAAGGGAGAGTTTCAATTATTTCACCAAATAGGAAGTCAGACATAAAAACGTCCTTAAACTGTAACGTCCGGAAAACAAACGTAGGGTGACTTTCACTGTCACAGAAGCAGTGCCGTTGCGTGTCCCAGGGTCCGAGTTGACCACAGCGCTGGGCTGCGGAGGGCTCTCTGGTCCATAAATTGGCCAGCCAGGGTGGTGGAGGAGACCCCAGAGCCCAAGGGGGGTCCTATTCCTCTGAGACCGGGTGACCCCCCAGCACTACCCTGGGAGGAGAGGGGACTGGGCCGGGGTGGGGTTAGGAAGGGACCCTAGAGGGCAGGTGGGCTGAGCCCTGGAGACCACCCTGGGAAGCTGGGGTGGACCAGGCTCTGCCGACCCCAGGATGTTGGCTTGTCCTTCCCATGCCCCCTGGGTGGGGCCCCTCAGCCCCCCGAGGTCTCGTCAAAGCCCCCACAGCCCAGGGACTGACTCCTCCTCCCCCACAGCTAGGACCCTGAAGGTCGATGAGGAGGTCATGGAGAAATTCGACAGAGCCCTCAAGCCTCTGCCTGGGAACTTCCAGATCATCCCGGACCAGACCCAGATGGAAGGTGACCACCTCCTGACCCATGACAGGGCTTTCCCCCGGCTTGTGGCTCCTCAACCAGAAAGCCATGAGCACTGGGAACGTCTTCTCCCACAGTGGTCCCCCATTCCCCCCAGGCCCCCCAGGAGGCAGGTGGGTGGGCAGGAGGGGGTACAGGGTCCCTGAGGTGGGGTCCTCCCCCCACCACACCCTGGGACCAGGGCTGCCGTGTCTGACCTGCATCCCTTCCCCGCGGCTCTCCCTCCTCCCACAGAGCGGTGCCGCGTCTAGGTGTGCTCCTGCCCGTCCGCCTCCTGGGGTAACGTACCAGCTGGGCCCCATGTCCCGGGCACATGTGGGGGGTGTCAGTGGGGCCAGACTCCCCTCTATCAGCCTGGGCGCCCCTGTGGGAATGGCTGGAACCGGGGTCTCTCCTGGTCATTGCAGAAGCCAGGCTGGCCGCATGCCCGCTCTCGAATGGCCTTTCTGGGATATCGTCTCCTGTGTCCCGACCACACTCACGCTGATGGCCCCACCACTCCTTCTGGGTGGGGGATGGAGGGCTGGGAAGCAAGGCATAGGGTGACAGCCACTCAGCCTGAGGGGGTGAGGCAGGGGCTCCCTCTTCCAAGGAGGGGTTGTCCCATACCCCCAGTCGGGGAGGGGCTGGCGAGGGTCTGGCAGGTTCCCCAGGAATCCCAGAGGAGCCCATCATCCATTACAGGTCCTGGGAGCCTCAGCCCCCCTGCAGAGACAATGTCTCCCCTCCCCTGTCAGAGGAGTCAGGAGGGACGAGACCAAGGTGGACGTCGCTCCCCCTGGGACCCTGGCATGTCGGATCCCAGCCTCGATCTCCTGCCCTGAGCCACTCCTCCTTCAGCAGTAAAGAAATAAGCCTGAGCTCTCTCTCTGTCTGAGTCCTTCCTGGCTGATGCGGGCGGGATGGAGCTGAGGGGGCGGCTCAGGGGATGAAGAGCAGGGCTGGGATTCAGGGCTTCTGTGTCATAGGCCTCAGGGCATTTGGGGGTCAGCACACATCATGAGGGGCTCTTAAACTTTCAGGAACTAGATAGAAGTGCTCCAGAGGCAGCTCCGCACTTAACACCAAAACCTCACGGAGGACGAGCAATGAAAATTCCCGGTCACTTAACCTAATAAATATTGGTATAAACACTTAAGTTACGTGCAAATCGAATTCTGCACTCTTAAAAATGCAGCCCCCACGACCCTCAAGGCTCTCTTTCAGGAACATAAGGGTAATTGTGACTAGGAACACTTGGTACCAAACTTCGTATGCCTATAAATGCACTGATCTTTTCTGAGCTAATGCAGAATAAAGAGATTTCCGCTGGCTAGAGTAACTGGGCAGAAGAGGCCAGAGGTGGAAAGGAAGCTTGTTGTCACAAACTTTGGAGTGTCACAAAGGGAAAAACGGTGTATAACAACAGAAACAGTGATTTTTAAATAATAAGAACAATTTACATATAACAATATATACCCATATTTTCCTGTATATATGTGTATAGTTATATATATAAATATATATTATATATCCATAACAATATAAGTATAAAATGAAAGTTTTAAAACATAGATGGGATGGATACATTTCTAGAAAAATATCAGTTACCAATACTGGCTTAAAAAGGAAGCTTTAAGAGAATAATAACTGGCCAACCGGCCAGTCAGTGCTCCTGTCCTCACAGGTACACACATCACCTTCCTGCTCAACCAGAAGTTGTCACTTGACTAGAAGGGAACCAGGAAGTACACTCCTACCAAGAAATAGAAGGAAACGTCCTTAAACTGATGATAAATTAAAAAAAAAAAAAACAATAGCTGACATGTACTTAATGGTAAGAGATGCATGCTTTCCTCCAAGACTGAGAACAAGGCACGGACGACCTCTCCCCACATTCCTCTTCATCATCACACTGAATACCTCAGTGCGATAGGACAGTGAGAAGAAAGGAAAGGCATAAACATTGGAAAGGAAACCTCTTGCACAACTGACAAAGCAAAAGAGAGAGAAGACACAAAAGACTAACATCAGGAATGAAGGAGGGGGTCCCTGCAGACCCTGCAGATGTCAAAGGATGGTAAGGGAACACTGTGAACAACTCTGCAGACATAATTTGACAACTGACAGGAAATGGACCAATTCCTCAAAAAATACAAACTACCACGACTCATCCAATACAAACTAGGTAATTCGAATAGCCCTACAACTATGAAGAAAATTGAATTCCTAATTTAAAACCTCCCCAAAAAGACATTTCCAGGCCCCGAAGATTTCACAGGAAAACTACACCAAATGATTAAAGAAGAATGAGCATGAATGCTGCACAATCTCTTGCAGGAAATAGAAGAGGAGGGAACACTTCTCAATTCATTTTATGAAGCTAATATTGCTCTGATACCAAAACCATACAAAGACACGTTTTTTTTAAAAAAGGAAAACTACAGACTGATGTTTCTCATCAATATAGATGCAACGATCCTTAATAAAATACTAGCAAATAGATTTCAGCAATATATAAAAAGAATTATACAAAATAACCAAGTAAGGTTTATGCCAGGGATGCAAGGATGGTTCAACACTTGGAAATCAATCAATGTAGCTCACTGTCTTATCAGGCTGACAAAGAAAAATCATATGATCATATCAATGTAGAAACAGCATTTGACAAAATTCAACACCTATTCATGATGAAAAAAAAAAGCCTCAGAGAATAAGAATGAAGGGAGCTTCCTCAGTTTGATAAGGGCATCTGCAAAAAACTTAGAATTAACATTGTACTTAATGGGGAATGACGAATGCCTTCATCAGTGATGAAGGATTAGGAACATGGCAAGGATGTCTGCTCTCACCCCTCCTGTTCATCATAGTGCAGGGAGTTCTAACCAGGGCAATAAGGCAAGAAAAGATAACAAAAGGCATATGGATCTGAAAGGAAGAAACAAAAGCATCTCTATTTGCAGAAAATCTCAAGGAATCTAAAAATAAAACTCCTAGAACTAATAAGTGAGTTCACCAAGTGGCAGGATACAAGATAAACATACAAAAATCGATTGTATTTCTACATACTAGCAATGGACATGTGGACACCAAAGTTAAAAATACAACACCATTTATAATCACTCCAAAAAAAAAAAGTAGAATACTTAGGTGTAAATCTAATGAAACATGTGCAGGATCTGCATGTTGAGAACAACACAATGCCGACAAAAGAAATCAAGGACGATCTAAATAAATGGAGAGACTTACAGTCCACGGACTGGAAGACTCAACATAGTAAAGACGTCAATTCTTCTCAAATTGATAGACAGGTTTAATGCAATTCCTACCGAAATCCCAGCAAGGGTTTTTGTAGACATAGATAAGATTATTCTAAGATTTATATGGAAACGCAAAGGAACTAAAATAGCTAAAATAATTTTGAAAAAAAAGTAAAATGTGAGGAATCAGTCTGTCAAATTTCAAATCTTATTATGTACTTACAGTAATGAAGTCCCTATGGTCTTTGCAGAGGCATAAACTCGTGGATCAGTGACAGAGAACCCATAAATAGACTCGCACAAATACGCCTAACTGACATGCAGCCCTCTGGACTGGGGCATCCCTAAAACCATCTAAACCTGTCCTGATTTGCGTACAAGACGACGGTGTGCTCCTCACAAGCTTGGCGCGCCACCTTCACTGGTCCCTCCGTGCCCTGGCAAGGCTCCCGGCAAACAGAGGCCTCTCCTTGCCTCTCTCTCTGTGGGTCCCTCATAGGAAGGAGCCTCATTTCTCCAAATCACGCCCAGCATTGCTCGGCTAGCCACCACTGCACCTTGGAGATTCTGTTACTGTCTGCTTCCCACCCAATTATCAAAGCTGCTCCCATAGAAAACCTGCAGCAGAGCTTCCCGGCGTGCAGGGGAAGCCATGACTGCACAAGGCCCATTCCGTTCCAGAACACCTGTCCCTGTGACCCATTGTCCCCCAGACAGCCCTGCTATAGTGTTTTTCACCACTCGCTCCTATCTTTAAAAACCTGAGGTCTATTTTGTGCCTTACATGCTGCAACTCTGAACACCCTGAGTGGGGGTTGCCTCTTGCCCAGGCCTCAGTGGTCGCGTGGCTGGGCCTCACCCATGGAGTCACCAGCACACTGGCGACAGATGGACCTCCTGGGTTTTCGCAGTCTCGTCAGGCTGTAAAGGGATCCCTCACTTTCCGGGCATCCCTATCAAAGAGGAAGAAATCAACGATGACGTAGCAGCAGTCGGACATCCGCAGGAGGCTGGAGTTGCTGAGACAAAGCAAACACAGAGCTGACACCTTTGAAGCTGCAGGGAAAGCTCGAGCTGACCGCTGAGCAGACAGGCAGCTCTCATGGGTTTTCCCACTTTGAACCTGAGGATTTGACTCAAGTAGAAATGTTTGTTCCTAGAGAAGGAAAAGATACCAGCTGCTCCCGCGCAGCCACGGGCTCTGATGTCCCCAGGACAGCCGCTTGCTGGCGCCTGAGTCCTCTTATCACAGGAGCGCACCAGGGTCGAAGGGGCCCAAACTGGACAGAAATGGCGGGGAAATTTTACCCAAGGGGCTCAGCCGTCCTGCTTCTACCTGTCTGCATCTTAACAGCAGACTGCGAATTCGGGCAGGACTCAGACACCCCTCCTAAAGGGCCAGCTAGATTTCCACAAATGAGTCTCGTTAGTGTCCTTCGGGGACACCAGCAGCGTAGTCGTGCTTGGTCTCCAGTCTGCGAGGACACGCCCTGGGTCTGCCGAGGCCAGGCGAGCACAGCGACCATCGCCTGAGAGTAATGCAGGCGGAGCCCGGCTCAGAATCACACGGCCCAGGCCCAGGCGCCCACCACACCTGACCTCTCACCAGGCCCACCCCCAAGAACGCAGGCGCCGGACCCCTCCCAGGGCTGAGGAAGACAGAGAGGTGCAGTGGGGGCCTTCACCTGAGATCCCAGAGCCCACCCCAGCTGCCCGCTGGGACATTCCCTTGGTGAGGGGCTCTAGTGACCTCTCTGGGGCCCGGCTGACAGTGGGCAATGCAGCCGGGAGCTGGTCTCCCTGTGTCCATGGGTGATGGTGGGTCCCAGAGAGGCAGGCCAGGGGCACCTCACCCTCGGACACAGGGGGTGTCATGACGCTAACAGCCAGGAGCCTGGCCTGGCGGGGGCTGACTGTCCCAGGGGCAGAGAAGTGGTGGCCGCAGGCAAGGGCGCCCTCAGGGCAGAGTCTGAGCAGGCCCGGAGCTCTCAGAGGACACGTGGTGACGTGGTGACTCGTGTGATCAGGGAGAGGCAGGGAGGGGGGGGAGGGAAGGAGTGGGTGAGCACTGTGCATGTCTCCCCAGATGAAAATCCCTTTTCCTCCCACTTTCCCTGAGTCCTTCAAGGAGGCCGTCCTATGGTGGTACGCTGGCAGTTTGTGCAGAGTTGTTTTCATTTTCAGCTCGTGTGTGTTTTTCGGCTTTTTTCCGAAAAGAATTTAAGGCTTGGGTGCCACTTTCTATCAAAGAGCGAGTGCCTGGAGCATACCCATGCCCACCACCAGAACAGTTTCCAGAACCACACACGCGGCTTTCAGCAAACTCCTCGAGGAAGACTCTGCAGCGTTCAGGCCCCGCCCAACACCCAGTGCCTCTCTGACCACGGCCCTCTGGCCCTCTGGGGGCATGGCCAGCCCAGGCCCCTGGCTGCCCCACTGCTTGGAGGCTGACCTCCCGCATGGCCTTGGTCTCGCCCCGCCAGCCTGGCCTTGGTGAGAGTGGCCGCCGAGGGGGAAGTGAGTGCCCCAACAGCCTCTCAGCCAAGGGACCCTGCCAATCATGCCCTCTCCCAGCAGCTCCTGTCACATATGGTGAAATCTACACGCTGCAGCT